ACTTCATCAGGTTCCTTTCCTGATGTATTAATTGTTTTGAGACCTTCTTTTATTTCTGAGATGTAAGATGGGGTGATATCTGTAGCATAACATCCCATTATTTCCCTTCCTTTTTTCTTAGCTTTCAAATGGAATGATATTTTTGATATAAGGAGTTCATGATCAGTCCCACAGTCAGCACCCGGTCTGGTACATGCTGATTTGATTGCATTCCTCCATCTCTTGCTACCTATTATATAATCAATCTGATTTTTATAATTTCCATCTGGTGATGTCCATGTATATAGTCTTCGTTTATGTAATTGGAAATATGTATTTGCAATAAAGAGGTTATTTGAAATGCAGAATTCCACTAGTCGTATCCCAGCATCATTTCTTTTCCCAAGACCATATCTTCCAACATGTCCTGGAGTCTCTTCTTTTCCTACTTTTGCATTCCAGTCACCAAGAATAAAGAGTGCATCTTTTTTTGGTAAATTATTAACTGTTTCTTGAAGCTTTTCATAAAACCCTTCAATTTCTTCTTCTGTCGCTTCTGTAGTAGGAGCATAAACTTGAATGATTGACAGATTGACTGGTTTTCCCTGCATCCTCAAGACTATGATTCTGTCACTAACTGGTTTATAGCCCAAAATAAAATTTACTAAATTCTTTTTTACAATTAGAGCCACTCCATTTTTTCTTAAGTTATCATGTCCAGAATAGAAGATCCTAAAATGTAATATCTTATCTATTAGTTAATTTTGTACTCAATAGTTTTTATATTTAAGTGTTAAATTTGAATCAATCCATGAGGAGTTCTATACTGTAATGTTCAATTTGGTTGATATACTGTAGTTAGAATCCAAAGATGGCTGATAAAAGCAGCAGAAAACATTCATTTCATTTAAAGTTATCTGCTGGATAAAAATGGTTTTTGTGGATAGTATTATTGGTTGACTTCAATTGTTTACTTGCAAGTCTTACTGAAGTATCAGGCAGAGACTTTTTTCTAAAGACTAGTAAAATCAGTTTTTTCACTTATTCTTTGTATAATTTATTTTAGAAAATGATCATTAGAAAAATGTTTGTTCCATTCAATAAATTTTAAAATAAAGTTAAATAGTTTCTTTTTGATAAATTTAAATAATTAAACTGTTTTAATAATAATTTGTGTAACACAATAAAATGTTAAATTGAAAATAAAAGATATATGTATAAAAATATATAAATAATTTAACATTTAAAAATCTATAGTTCACTTTGTAAGAAACTTAATGTAGCTAACATTATAGTTGTAACATTTTTAAAAACTTACTTTTTTTATGATTGATCATCTTATTTGATCATTAATGTAAATCAACTATTGAATAATCACCGACTATTTTATTGTATCTGTAGAAAAAGTTCTGTCTTTAATAAGTTATTTGAAGTATCATGTTAATTAAAGGTTAATATGAATATATAATGAGATTAATGTTTTAATATATCTTCATAATTTGAGACTTAGATTTTTGAGAAGAGTTTTTAATAGTTTACTCTATTAAAATTCTAAATATTTCAGTTTAATTCTGGTTTTATATTCCTAAGTACAGGAGTACAACAATGAATAATTTTGAAGTGCCATAAGTTGAAATACTTAAGAATTGCTAATTTAATGAAAGATACTTTTGAACACTTTTATCACTTTTTGGATATTTATCATAATAGGAAAAACTTAATATGAATTATTTCCAAATAAATTTTGTCTGTTCTCACTGTCTACCCTTTGATAAACATAAAAGTATTCAAAAAGATACATTCAGGTAAACTTTGATAAAATTGTATCATAATATTATAATTCAATTAAACATTTTTCATCTGTTGAGTAGTACTTGCTTAAAAGGAAGATTCTTCAAAACAGTAAACCTGTTGTGATGTATGGTACTGAATGCTTGATAACAAGAAAACATGAACAGATTACAGATTTAAAAGTGATCATTAAAGTGGATGTCAAGTGTTACATAAAAGGATACAGGGAAGAACTGAAGAGCCTGGGTATTGCAAAGATTGGGAGTAATCTTAAAAGAATGCAGATTGAGATGATTTGGTCAGATCTAGCATATACAGTTTGTGCAAAAAGCTTTGAAAATAAAGTATAAAGAAAAATAAAAATAAGGAAAAGTTAATACTAAGGAGGACTTAATTAAAATCAATAAATAACTATATGCAAGAGTTGGAGTTTCAAGAAGAGTGGCTTTAGAGCCAAGTGGAAAAAATTCAACATTAAGTAGATTGGAAGAATTAAATATTTTCATAACCTCAAAATAAATTATATTATGTATTCAGTTTAAGTCCAAAAAATAAATAAAATTTATCCTCGGTATAATAGTTTCTTAAATATTAGATTTTAGATATATTAGATTGGATAAAAGAATAAAATAAAAATATTCATAAATATATGACAAATTTAAAAAANGATTATTTAATACCGGTTATTGGTTTTATTAAGTGGTTTTTGGACATGTTCAGGATTAATTGAATATTTGCACTCTAATTGATTTTGTGTGTGTGTGAAACCTACATTGTAATTTGTAGCTCTTGTTAACATTGTAAGTTTATGTAAATTTTATTTGTTGTTATAAATGTTTTGTGAACTGTGATTTTTAAATTTGACTAGAAGGAACACATGGTCATGGTGGTAACGCTGCGAACTAATGTAACATCATATGGTGAGATTTTGTTCATATTGTGGAGCAAAAATATGTTCGAATTTCATGTTGTATCCTGAAAATTTCATATGCTGCGATGTTCATATCCTGAGGTACCACTATATGTCAAAAAAATGCCTTAGTTTATGACAAATTTAAAAAAAAAAAATGATAAGTTAAATTTTTAGCCAATTTTCATTTCTTTAAAAAAGAATGATTTTATACATTATATGTTTAAACACAGTCTTTTATATATTCAATATGCTTTTAAGAGACATTTGACTATTAATAGTTTATTGTGTCTTTTATACAAAGTAGAGATCTTTGTTGTAAAACAACCTCTCATACAACTCCTGGGAAGATAAATCAACACAAAAAAAACCTTTTTAATATCCCAGTATGAACAAATTTAAACAAAACAAACGTTTTCGACCATAAACTTGGTCTTTGTCAGGCTAATGCAGTTGCCAGAAAAGCCTGCTTTGTATATTTCTAATGCTTTCAGGTTGCGAAGGTGTTGAACTTGATCAGACATTTTTACCAACTTGGCCTTACGGAGGTCGGCTTGTATTTCAGGATCAGTAGCATAGGCCGTTAGGATGGCGATACGTCTCTGGTTGGCGATATCATACCCATGTTCTTGTAACCTTTTGTTTAAAGAGCGCTTCGTGGATCCAACATAAACTAGATCTCGCTGGAATCTATGGTCCCTGAGAGGAACCATATAGATGCCTGGTGCTCGACTTTCATCTGTCTTGTCCTTGTCATTGTGTAACAGCCCATATACTGTGTTAGATCTCTTATATGTGATCTTTGTCTCTTTGTGCGTAGCAATTTCTTTATAGATTCCAGCAAGATCTAGTTTACGTCTGATCCACGAAGCGCTCTTTAAACAAAAGGTTACAAGAATACGAGTATGATATCGCCAACCAGAGACATAACGCCATCCTAGCGGCCTATGCTACTGATCCTGAAATACAAGCCGACCTCCGTAATGCCAAATTGGTAAAAATGTCTGATCAAGTTCAACACCTTCTCAACCTGGAAGCGTTAGAAATATACAAAGCAGGCTTTTCTGGCAACTGCATTAATGCAAAGGATGCCACTAGTATTTCATATGCATGGAGGCAGTGCTATAAAAAAAGTAACGGGAATAACACTAGCTAGTAGATAACATTTCTACACCAGTATTTGCAACTTATTATTTGTGTGTGTGAATGTAAAGATATATTTTTATCACTTTATTAACATGTAAGGTTTTTCAAGATTTAAATAGTTTGGAATTTAAAAATAATTTATAAACACTGTGTTCGAATTTCCGGTTTTGAATTTTGTACTGGCCATTAGCCTGAGAAAGACCAAGTATGGTCGAAAACGTTTGTTTTGTTTAAATTTGTTCATACTGGGATATTAAAAAGATATTTTTTGTGTTGATCTTTGTTGTTCTAAGACCATGGTTCCCAATTAGTGGTACGCATACCCCTGGAGGTACGCAAAATTGCATGAAGAGGTACATGCGGCAATCTAAAATCGGTCAATTTAAAATTTAAATGCATGAGATGAAGCAATCAAAAAAATAATGGGTGGACCATCAAAAATTTGGCAATTTACAACATAATGTCAAATGCACAAATTTGTTTATTTATAATTGAAAATATTGTCGAAATTTCATCAAAAAAAAAAAAAAAATGCATTTGTGACAATACCTAAATGAAATTCTTAGGTAAGAAACAAAAATTGTACAATTAACATTATCATCATGTTAGCGAAGCGACAATAAAACATTTACTACCATTTTGCACAACATACCTCTGCAAGAGCGGATTTTCAGCCATGACAAACATGAAAACTAAACATTGTCACCGACTTCAACTCGAAGATGACTTGAGACTGAAGCTGACCAAAAAGCAACCAGATTTTACAAAGAAAATCGTGCATATTTGTCACATTAAAATTAAATAACCTTATGTTGTTTTCATTATTATTAGAATTGTATTTTAAAGGTAATAAATGTAAAAAAAAAAACTTATTCTATTTATCACTAGCTATCTACCCACAGCTTCGCCCACATTATATCAAATTTTCTCGTGGGAGTAAGATATTTTCTTGCAGTAAAATGTAGCCTATGTCCATCTTCAACATGTAAGCTATCTCTGTGCCAAATTTTTTTAAAACCTGTTCAGCGGTTTAGACGTGAAAAGGTAACAGACAGACAGCACTACCTTTGAATTTATAATAGTATGGATTAATGTAAATTTCTGCTATAAGGGGTATGCGAGTTTGAGCTCTTTCTTGAAGTGGTACACAGGAAAATCTAATTGGAAACCACTGTTCTAAGACATCATGGAATTAATTACATATACATATGTATTCCATATGCATATACATATATACACTGAATGGTCAATTTATTATGACCATCTACTCAGTACATTGTAAGAAAGATAAAGAAAGAATATTTATTTAATTTCCTAAAAGAAAATAGCTAGATGTACAGTATAATCTCCAAATAGCAGGCAACATTGGGATTGAGAAGTTTGTCCGCTATTTAGAGGAGTCTGCTATTTGGATGCACATGCTGGTAGCCATATTGTAAAGTGGTCATTATAAAGTGAAGAATATGATGGATTACGAAAACGTCAAATTTGCATTAGGAATGCGATTACACTGAGAAGTATATACATTGTATATATCGGTATATTTAATTATATATACCGAAAGTATATATAATTAAAATACATTATATATACAATGTAGTATTTATTTTTTCAGCTGTAAAAATCTTGTTTTAATTGAATCTCATTCGAATGTCAAGTTACAAAGATGATTTGCTATCCACTTCAAGGGTAGGAAATATATTTGTAATTGTTACATTTATAAAATCATTTACAATCTAAGCGACTAATAAAAATCAATATAGAGATTTGTCTGCTTTGAAGTTATCAAGTAGGTGTAACTTTTCAAGCATTTTTGCTTTTTTCAGCAACTGATTTATTAAAAATTATACTTTAGCCACCATAAAGCTGTTAAAATGGTTACAACAATAGTTTTTGTTTGGTGAAAGTTTAAAGGTCATGTTATGAAGGTAATTTGCCAACCACTTTAAAGTGTGGGAAGATATTCAATTTTTTTTTATTTATGATGTCATTTATGATCTAAAGTTTCTTTTCGTTACCACCATACTACTGTTCTTGTCGAATGAATGAATAACTTCAGAAAAGTTTAGTGTTTTGGTATCATAAGCTTAATTCCAACAATAAGACACAAGTTTAATAGCATTAATATATACAGTGGGTGATCAGTTAACGAACAAATCAGATAACAAACACTTACACGAAAGATTTTTATGATCGGACAACAAACACATGTTCGGATAACGAACACTTCACTGAACAAACATAAAAAGAAGTGAAAGAAATAGCAAATGTCGATTGATTTTTCCCGTAACAATTTAAAACTTTTTGGAGCAACGGAGATGTCGACATTGATGCTCAATCCAATATATACTGATTGGATAGTATTCCTCAAACTTTGAAATTGTTTCTGTCAGAAAAATAAAAGGCTGGAATTGTAATTCCAGCCTTTTATTTTTCTGACAGAAACAATTCTTATATAGTATTCGCGAGACTGTCGGGTGGGCACTCATTAAGTTTTGGGTCGGTTTTTATTTTCGAAAGGTGAGAGTATAATAGCAAAGTTATAGATTGGGCAGAATGATGTCTGATGTTGCTGGGCAGTATGCTTTGAACAAATCTACAGTAGGGCACAGTTCAATCTTATTTAACAAAGATACAGTATAATCCAGAAGACTCAAGCAGCTAAAGGAGTAACAAAAATCACATCTGCGAAATAAAGAACATTGAAGAGCTAATAATGGAACCTGTTTCAGGTTCCATTATGATCTGACGACAAAAGAACGCCAAGAACTCTTCAATGAAGAATGCCAAGAAACTTGGCAAGATATGTTTTATTCTAAAAAAGAGGATTAATGCAGATATTTGCTATTAATTAAAGATCTTTTGAAGAAGTGGGGATGTCAGATTGACTGTCTTAGAATGGCATACAAACCAGGTTGAGGTTAACAGGCTTGTGGATCTCTACAATTACAATGCTATTAATTATTTCTGAAATTTTTGAAGAAGAGAGAAAAGCAATCGACATTAGACAGATTCTTTAACCCCTACAAACAAAAAAAAACATAAGTAATAAAAATGCAAGACTGTTTATATATGTGTTTTTATTATTACATATAAATAAACGTAGTAAGAAAGTATATATTTTTTATATTGGGGTGTCTCCAGAACGAATTAATCAAATTCCCATAGAAACCTATGGTAAATTGATAATCAGATAGCAAACAAAGTCTAGGAATGGATTATGTTCGTTAACAGATCACCCACTGTATAATGATAAATGGTGATTGACAACTTAATCAGATTAAACTTCTCTAACAGATAAAAAATATTGTTCAACTTTTTATAACCTGCCCTCCTCCCCTATTCCTATTTTAAGCCAGTCTTATTTGATGCTTATGGTCAAAATTCATTGTCTGAAAGAGTATTTGAATAGATTCTTTGTTTTTGTTTTAAAATATGTTACATGTAATTAATTCTTTCAGAATATTGAAGGCAGAACATTGTGTTTTCGTAAGTTTGGTTATGGATGACAGCATCTGCTATTTAGAGGTAAATATAATAGAAGTCCTATTTGAAGGGTCTGGCGATTGTAAAAATGTTTAAGTATAGGTGTCTGCTATTTGGGAGTGTTTGTTAATGGAGGTTTCACTATATTTGGTAAGCAACAATATTTAAATACCTTTGGGCATTCAGACATTTAACACAAATCAAAGGATCTAAACAATGTCAGGAAAAATCTCCAAACCATAACATTGCTTTCACCAGCTTGAAGTGTTATGGCAATGCATGTAGGGTCCATGCTTTCATGCTGTTTTCTCCATATTCATACACAGCCATCTGCATGGTGTAATTGAAAATGTGATTCATTGGACCACATTACCCTTTTCTAGTCATTTACTGTCCAATCTTTGTGATCATGTGCGAATTGGAGTCGTTTGATCTTGTTAGCTGCAGACAAAAGCTTTCAAACAGTCTTTGGCTTCCATACCCAAGATGATGTAATGTATGACAACCAGTTCACTCAGAGGCCATCAAAGATGTTCCCTGACTAAGATCAGATGTAATCTGACATACTATTGCTCTTCTGTTGGATTGGACAAGTCTGGCAACTCTCCTTTCAACTCGAGCATCTAGCAGCCATGGATGGCCAAATGCCTTATGTTGATATATGCTTTTTTGTTTGATAGTCCACTCTTTGTACACATGAAGAACGGCTACTCTCAAACACTTTATAAGCAAAGCAGTTTTGCTTTCAATTGTCTGTACAATCATCCAGCAATCCCTCTTTATAACAATCTTGTCCTGTGATGGCAATAGCATGATGTCATAGCTGATTTGTGTAAACTTTGCAGGTGGTCATAATAAATTAATTGGCCACTCAGTGTATACAGGGTGTGGTGTAAAGAGTAGATAATCCATTACCTGTGTATAGGGGACATCATGACTGTTCAGAAAATTAAACATTGTGTTTAGTAAAAGTGTCATAGTTTTTGAGTTATTGGACATTTTCTATTTTTTTGGAAAAATGGACTTCGTTGTTCACATTTTTTCAATATCATGGTCACAAGTCAAGGATTTTTTCCAGTCT